TCCTGGGATAAGTAACTTTCTTGTTGAGGATTGACCAGCCAAATTTATTTTCACTAATAGTATCCTTGCAGAAAGTATAAATTGTGGGGGGTTTTGTGCTGGGATTGCAATGTTTTCAAAGGAAGTATTTGTGTTTAGTTAGGTCTTCTAACTTGTCGTCAGCTGATGCCAGGGGGGTTATGGGCTGTCAGGATGCTTTCGCGACTTCCCTCCCCCCCCAATTTGGAGGGGTTGTTGAATAAGGCTCACACGTGGCGTTCACCTCTCACAGAACGTCCACTGCGGAACTGTATCTTAGAGTGATAGTTAGAATATACCCCCACCACGCCCAAAAATTGCTACTGAGACCAATGTTTAGTTTACAAATTAACCGGTTTATTAAGGGTTAACACAAACTGTGGGATAAGGTTTAGGGAAAATGTACAAATGGGGGCCGGCTTCCCAGTAACAGGGGCGACCCCCCGGCAGCAGGAAGGCAGGCAGGTGGACCAGGCAGGCAGCTACGGTGGGATCTTGAAATCCGTGGTTTCGAGGCAGGCAGGCAGGCAGGCCCAGCAGAGTCCCAGCGCCAGTCTCTGCAGCAGGGAGGGTGTCCCACACAGGAAGCGTCCGAACAGGCCTCGGTCCCGCCTGCTGAATTCGCCCCCTTTTTATAACCCCGTGACCCCCCTGTCCAGCCAGTGTCACTGTCCAGAGCCAATTGACATCCACGAGTCCCAAGTTAGGGCAGTAACTAGCAGGGGCAATGCATAACTTGTTGCCGATCCTTCCTGCCTTGTACCACATCTGTTGTTTTGCTGTCGTTTGTCCTTGAGCAGCAGGCCTGTTTTTGGTCCATTAGCTGGATATAATCAGCAGAAGGCCTTTGCTGACTTCAAAGGCATTTTGTTTAAACTTATGTGGGGAAGAAGAAGAACCGTTTCACACATAACTTTTCACTTGGTCCTTCTAAATACTTGTTGCATGAAAATTAGATGTCCCTGAAGTATGTCACGGAAATGCCTGTTTTTTCTTTGCTTGACTATAATCTTATTTAACTTCTGGTGTTGGGGTTTTGTTGGTCTTATTTTTCAGTTACAAAACCTTTGATATTTACTGAAAGGAAGATCTGTTGTAACTGCATTAAACTGTGTGTGAGAAACTAAAGCAGCTATCTGTGTGATGTGCTCTGTGTTGTGCAGTCTGCATTTGACAGGTGTGGAAGGGGGTGCAGAGGCAACACTGCCTTCTTCTCTTCTCTTCTTACTGATATGATATGATGCTTTCTAATTGAAAATGTGGTTATCAAATCTGACAGAAGCCTTCTCCAGTCATCTTCAAGCAAAGATTGCAAAGATTTAGCTGGAAAAAAAACCCTCATAATCTTAAAAACCTTCAGTATTTTGTTACATATTTCATATAATCATAATAAAGTAAAAATTAAATGCTTGTGGGAGGTGGCAGGTTTGGGCTTAGATGGGTTTTTCCTTTTTTCTTTATCTTAGAAGATTACCTCTGAGGAAAATAGACTTGGTTCATTTTTAAATCTTGCAGCTAGCTTGGGATAGAAGTTCATTCAACATATAACTTCCTACAGAGGTATTTTGCTTTCTGGATCCCGTGATGTTCAGCTCAATCTGGGCAGGCTAGTGGCAACTATGACATTTCAACATTCATAGACACAGTGCCATGTCAACAGAGCACTTTTGCCATAGGAAGATGTCCAGTAAGGATTATGTCAGTCCCATGGCCTCAGTACCTTGCTTTCTTCTGTATATTTGTATTGTATTTGTACACTATTTGTATATGTTTATGACAAAAAATTATACAAGTGCTCAAAGTAATTTCACTTCTCAAAGAGAACAACTAAATTCTTCATGCGGTGTTAATCTGTCCCTCATCCTAGTAGCTCCGGGTCTGAGGAAGAGAGAAGCTGGGGTTGCTTGAATAACTGTGTGCTGAATACTTTTTTTTTTTAGGGGAGTTCTGTACATGCTGTTTAATGTCCTTTATCTCTAGCTGTTCCCTTTGCAAAGTCCTATTTAGCATTAGCCATGCTGTTTTGTAGATCTCTCTCTCTGAATACAAAATGAATGGCGCACACTTAATCTGAGCTGTTGGGTAATAGGATGTGAAATGTCATCTGCGGACTGCTCCTTGCGGAGGGGGGCAAGGCAGGCTGCCATCAGTTGGGGGTTGGTAAATAGGCAGAAGACAAGAATACTGTGAATGACTGACTCACATATGAATGAGTAAAAGCTGATACAGCTTTCTGAATTTGTGAAAATAACAGATTCATCAAACAGGCCACATCGGACGGTGTTCACTCGAGCCATAGAGGCGTGCGATCTGCACTGGCAGGACAACCACTTACAGCATATTATCAGCAGTGATCTATACACCAACTACTGTTACCATGATGACACTGAAAACTCACTCTTTGACTCTCATGGGTGGCCCCTCTGGTATGGTAAGTGGCTAAACTGGAAAGACATTTCCATGACTTGCTGTTTTGTTCAGTTTCTATGGCATCATTTTGGGGGAATGGTGGGGAGATGAATGAAAAGCCTGGCATAAAGAACAGGCTCCCTTGAAATGCTGATTCAGTAGTCCTTTAAGTCTCTCTGGCATAATTTTAAAAACAAAAGAAACAAAAAAGCCCTTTTGAGTAACCAAGCCAAAAAGACAATTGCAGACATGAAAACATTGCTATTTTTCAATCATTTTCTCCATTTTAGAACATGTTCCTACAGCTTGTGCGAGGGTGGATGCATTACGATCTCATGGATACCCACGGGAAGCACTGAGGCTAGCAATAGCTATTGTTAATACACTAAGAAGGCAGCAGCAGAAACAGCTGGAATTGTTCCAGGCTCAGAAGAAAGGTAAATGTGGGGAAGAGAGAAGGGCAAAGGACATGACAAGGTGACTGGAACTTTGCATGAGAAAACTGCTTTTGAAACTAAAGCAAAAGAGGTGACTTTAACTCTTTGGTCCAAATGATCATAGTGGTAATGTAACATTCTGGATTTTGGAGGGTTTTTTTAAGCTGGGTTGTGAGCTCTGCAGGGCAAGGGCTTTGTTCTGCTTTCTGCAATACATCTGACATGATGGGGCCTTTATCCCAATTGGGGTTTTCAATTACACAGTGTAAATATTCATCCTGTATAATGTATAGGCTTTTAAACAGAGCTTTGCATTTGGCACATCAGATATTTAAAATATTTTTTCCCCTGATGTGTAATTTAGCAGAGCTATATATTTATGAGGTGGAAGCCTAAAGTTGACATTGAGGGCAACAACAAGGCAAATTTTGCACTACAGAAATTCATCAAATTTGGCAGTTTGTTCTAAAAGTCTCTTATGATGCTTAAAACTTTAGTAGACTCACATCACTGAAAATGAGATTTTTGAAACACTGGCTTTATTAAATGTTCTGTGGTGTTCCTCTGAGCACTACCCCTAATTTTGAAGGAACTTTCTACCAAAAATAATCCTGCACTGAACTTTGTTGTAATTTCAAAGAGGTAGTGGAAGAAGAAAGAGATGGCTTTGTGGTTAAAGAATGCAGAAAAAATGTGGAAAAACTGGAATTACATTCTCAGCTACTACATCAACAGCTTTCATTCAAATTTTATTTTAGATCTTTTTCGTTACTCTTAACTATCCTTCTGCATTGTAGGCAACAATACCAGTGTGAAGTCACATGTGTACGTTTCAAGTATATGTGCAAGTGTTTTCCCAGAAATTATCATTTAGAAATTGAAGTGAAGGTAGATACCTGACTGTGTGCCTCCGTTTCCATTTCATGGTACCCAAGGAAGACGTTTTGAGCACTATTGTGGATCCTATATTTGAACAAAACTTAAAAGCACTTTTTATTATTACTTAGGAGAATTTTTCAGTCTTTTTATGGTGTAATATATCTTTCCTTAACATGCGTTCCCTTAAAAACTTTGCACATTTTATAGCTTCTCAGACTGAGGAGGTAAGAAGGGAGGGGGCTATGTCAGTGTGTGTATGTGTGTACATCCCACTGACAGGTGTGAAGGATCTGCTGCAAGTGTGCTGGTTGTATAGTACTGCTCCTTTTCATTCCCAGTTGCTAATGCAATATCTAGACATTCAATACTTTTCTTAAGTTCATTTCCCTGTGAGCAAATTCTATAGCTGTCAACTAATATTATGCTACTATAAAAAAAAAGGCATGTATGAAATGTGATTCATCCTAACCCAAACCAAAGAATTTTGTAATTTCTATGTTGTTACTCACCACTTTTGTTTTTTTCCTTCTTATGTTTGGAATTTTAAAAATATTCTTCTAATGCTGCACAATATGCTGGTTTTCTCTATAAGCAGATTAATTCTGCAGCTACAGCCCAGCTTTAGGTTTCAGTTCAGCAACTACCACATGCTTCTATTTAGCTTTCATTCATGTAACTGATCTGATGTCCATGGAACCACTTGCATGATTTAAAGTTAAATGCCTATATGAATGAAGGACTGAAGCCTTAGTTTGGCATGACACAAGTGAAGCTCATAAGTAGACACAATAGGTGAAATTAGTCAGTAAGTGAGTCAGTAAGAAGTCGCTAATATTAACCCTTTTTGCTAATAGTACGTGCTTCTGCCTGTAATCTTTAGCATGTTATTAGTTAGATAATTATTTACTTGTTTGTTTTTCATATTACATATCAAATGATTCTTTATTAAAAAGACACCCTTCTGAATACTTAGTTCAAACAGTATGACTGTGTTTCACTTTGTAGCCCCACACATTTAAATAGGCAAGAAGCAAGCTTTTAAAGCTTTGTGATAATACATATGGTTACTCAGAAAGATGGCATTATGTGAACGAGACAGAGCATGGGCAGGTGCAAGTTAGTGTGTAATTGGCAGAGAAACAGAGCATCTGTAATGGCTTGTATGCACTTTTTAAATGGTCACCCATAATGCATCTGATCTCATAGTTCAGTTGTGTATATGTGTCTAGGAGAAAAAAGCTGGGAGATGGAGTCAGTCTTTTAACATATTCACAAAGGGCAGTGCATTAACCCTGAAAGATCCTATTTTCTCCTTCTAATGCAGAAACTACTGGAAATACTTTGAATTCTGTACTGAGAGCAATTTAATCAGTTTTACTTCTATAACTGTTTTGAGGGGCTAACATGTGCTCTTTTTCCCTCCTCCCTCCATCTTTTCTGTCACAGAACTTCTCCACAAAGGAGTAACCTCAATAATGAATCTTGAAGGTTGGGTGGGACACCCTTTGGACCCTATTGGCACCCTCTTCAATAGCCTGATGGAAGCCTGCAGGGTGGATGATGAGAGCTTCCATGGATTCTCAGACTTCACAGGTACGGCCATGCAAAAGGACCAATCTTCTCTAAGTCCTCAGTAACATTTTTCTATCTTGCCTTTCTGAATTATCTTTGAAGCCAGTGTCTTTATAGTATAAGAACACATATTTGCATTCCCTAAGAAAACATGAGGGAAAGAAAATGTTTAAAGTAAAATTTTCTTATTAGTTAAATGAAAGCACTTCAAAAATTATCAGTATCTCATTCCTGATGGCAATTTCATGCTTGAAATAAAATGGAATAAGACTTTATAGCAGCAACCCTCTCCACATACATTGCTCTGTCCTCTTTTTTATAAGTTACAGGAAATCACAGAATTTTTTAAGTTGGAAGGCTCCTCTGGAGATCATCTGGTCCACCTGCTCTGACCAGAGCAGAGTGACTTAGAGCAGGTTGCCTAAGACTGTGTCCAGTTGGGTTTTGAATAATCCCAAGAATGAACACCGTACAACCACTCTGGGTGACCTCTTACAGTGTTTGACCATCCTCATAGTAAAAAAATCTTTCATATGCTCAGATAGAATTTTCTGTATTTGAGTTTGTGCCCATTGCCTCTTGTCCTGCCACAAGATACCAATGAGAAGAGTATAGGTCTGTCTTCTTTACATTCTTGTCACCGTTTGACTCAGGTCCAACAACAATGATCTCGATCCCCTCCCCCTCCCACCCAGGTAGGGAAGGAACCCCAGCAACTCCCACAACACTCTCCTTAGCTGCAAACAGTCCTGAAAAATCCCAGACTGCTGCTGGAGAAAACGGAGAGTTATGAGGGTCAGGAATGCTTAAGCCTAGGGGTCGACGGTGATGGATGGACGGAGTCCTCCCTGGATGCCAGCCATGGATGGAAGAGAAGGGAAGGAGAAGCAGGAAGGAAGTTGTCTTCTGTGATCTCTGACCTTCCTTTTAGCTTACGTAGATATATGGAATGGAATATCTCTGGCCAAATGTCCTGGTTTGAGCCAGGATGAAGCCAATTTTTCTTTTTACTGATTTTTTTTTCCTTCAGTAAGCTTTCTTTTAACTAGCAACAGTGTGTTCTGCTAGGCTGATAAGACAGTGGAATGTTTTTCTAACTACTGAGGCTTCAAGGTCGCACCTTCACTCTGCCGGCTAAGACACTATGGGGAGATTTGTGACCCCCCCGTAGGAGGCTGAGTTAGACAGACAACAAAATTGGCCAAAGATATTCCATTCCATATATCTACGTAAGCTCAGAGGAAGGTCAGAGATCACAGAAGACAACTTCCTTCCTTCTTCTTCTGCCCTTCTCTTC